GTCCATAGCAGATTAGGATGGTCACACACAAGAGATCCAATTTCACGCTCTGCCCTCTGTGATCCAGTTGTAAGGATCAAAACACGACACTCTATAACGCGCTACTGTTACTATGCATTGATCTAGCGTCACAGCAAGGTGATGTCTGGACACACACAACGTCATTAAGATACAGCAATAGTTTTTAAGACTCCTGGAGTGTACTCCTAGCAGGTCCCATATTCTCTGTTGGGGACTAAGGAAACTACTTTCCAGTTCAATGCCCCATCTTCCACAGCATTTAAGTGGGGAGAAATATTCTGACTCATCCATGCAGGGAACTGAGGGATTAACGTGGTAAGTTTCTATGGATTCTCAAAAAGACACAGGTAGAGAAGACCAGATGTTGTTTATTTAATTGTTTTCTTGTGTCTCTGGCTGTAGCAGATGCTCTCACCCTGCTAAAGACCTGGGAAAGACCCAACAAAAGCAGCACCAAAGTTTCTGGTCCTGGTGGTGTCCCCCCATGGCTCCTGACCAGTTCACACAGTGAGGATCAAAGGCAGGGAAGTTGGGGTCCTCAGCCAATATGGGGCTGACATGACCAGATTTTGACCTCAGATCAGATTCAACCAGGGTATAAATGGGGCCCTATCAGAGGACTCATTTGAGTCGGTCCTCCTCGGAGCAGCGGGTCTGCAGTTGGGGACTCTCCCCTTTCCTTTGGGACACCACTTAAGGTAACTTCTTGAGACTGAGAGCCCTTCCTTTAATAGGTGAGGGATTGCACATTTTGGATCATCGAGCCTAAAACATAAGAATTCTTAACTCAGCTGTGTCTGGTAATATTCCCAGCCAGCATCTCGGACCTGTATTTGTTAAGTGTCAGTGGAACATTGTTGTGGTGAATGAGGTTTTGGCTGCTTGATTTCACTTACCGATTAAAAAGCTTGTTTGAGTTCATTATTTGTGTGCATAGCCATCTTGGTGCACTTCCATGACACTGCCAGACTCAAAATGGCCATGGGGATCATTTTCCATTGGCTTTAAATGTAGTCGTATTTCCTTGGATTTAATGTAAAGCATCTTGCTGAGACTTGAGTAAACTGATGCTTGAGACTGACTTTCAGTAAGAAACAAGTTCCTGTGTAATTTAACTCTTTTACCTGGTGTCTGCACAGTTGAGAAGCTGAAAATGCTGGGTGTCACCATCCTTGCTTACCAATTCCTTGTGAATTTTCTTTAAGCTTCAGACAAGAGGAAATGTAGGACAATCTGCAAGGAAACCTCTCCCCAGACTAAATCAGCAGGTGCAACGAGTAAGAATAGCCATTTTCCCCAGGAACAGTGCTCTTCCCCGTGCTCCATTTTATCTAACACTTGAGTGTTATAAGCATAACTACTTGAGACATGAGAGTTCCCACACTTGTGCTGACCAAGGGATCCTACCCTGGGAAATCCCACTTAAATTTTAGCAGCTACAGCAGCAGCTCCTGGCTCTTGGCAGAAGGGTAAATCCCACACTGAGAGCATATTTCAAGTTGCAAAGCTGTCAACCATAAGAAGGTAGCTGGGCTCTTTATCGAGCTAAGAGATACTATTCCAGTGCAGAGCCCATTTAGTAACAGAAGGAAGCAAAAAGCCACAATAGGATGGGGTGACAGATGGCAGTAATTGCACACAGTAGCTCATCTTAAGTACCTTAGCTGTTTGCTTTCACTTCTCAGCAGGACAAAACACTTCCTTGACTTCTGAATCATCCACAGCTCATGACCAGGCTCTTAGTGAGCTGAAGTACAGGGCATCATTTCCTTTCCCTGACACAAACATAAGCCAGGGTGATCGTGGGGGACTCCCCACTTGGCTACCTGAGCTGGCTGGTTATTGGAGGCAATACAGCACATGCCACGAGTGCACCTGTAAGCTCCATAGCTCCCATAGCCTGCTGATGCAGCAGCCTCTGTGGAGACAGGCAGAGCATCCACAAGGAAGGACAGGGAGGACCTGTAAGCTGATCAGAACTAATCTTAAGATTTGTATATAGACCAAGTTTCTCTAAATTAATCAGGTAAAATCAAAATAGATGCAAAAAGAGCATTAGTGCCACTTGGGATCTTCTTTAGAAGTCCATGCTCTATGTAACCTTGCTATCTCCTTCCTTCCCTCTTGCATACAGCATGCTACAAACTTCTTGAGAGCCCCTCAGCCTCTGTTTTTCCTCTCTTTCCTTCTCTACCCACCTCTTCCAAATGTATCTTCCCAATCAGAACTGTAAATGCTCTTGTCTCCTGAAACATGAACAGCCTAGTTTTCAGGTGGCCCCTTTTTAACTCTGCCATGGCCTGGTCTTCCCTCAAAATTCATGCCAGCTCATGTTTTGATAGCTCTGCTTTCCAGGCTTCCCTCCCACTGTCAATATCCTAGCTGCATGCTCATCCTCAGCTACACTTGCACATGAATAAGTAACTGTTCCACAGGCAGATATTTCAGTGTTTACACTTGTCTTTAGAAATCAAAGCCTTCTCTGATTAAATGCCATTACAATCCAGTGCTTGGACGGATCCAGAGAGATTAATGTGCTTTTGGGCAGCTTTAATGATAATCCTGCTACAGACGGTATTAAGTAAATGTCAGTAACCTGGTTTGAAGGGAGCTTTCACCTCAGGGATCCTTTCCATTTAGAGGAGAGAGGCTCAGCTTGCTTTTCAAGGCTGCATTGTCACACAAGAGAAATCCTGCTTAGTGAAGACTCCTCTTCCTCTGCCCAGTAAAACAAAATGGAGTAAGGTGATAGAGGGGTTGATAGATGGATAGATTGAGGTGCCTTACAGGGAGCTAATGCATCCCTTGAAAGCCAGAACTACTGTATATTATAAGCCATGTCATAGAATCACAGAATATCAGGAGTTGAAGGGACCTGGAAAGCTCCCCCAGCCCAACCCCTGCCAGAGCAGGATCACCAGAGCAGTCACACAGGAACATGGCCAGGGCTTTGGGTGTCTGCAGACAAGGAGACTTAGGTTGCCACTTCCTCCTCATGCTCCTTTCAGTGTCTGCTGCCTTTTGCTCACTTCACCAACATATCATGCAGTTCTTTACCCAGAGCATCAACAGCAGCAGCCGAAAATGGACCTTACTCTATTTGTCCCCATCTGCTGCACCTCACCAGAGGAGTAGTCTGGGGTGTGGAGCTGACTGGGTGTTCTGCCACAAACCAGGCTTTAAAATCACTCTTGACAGCAAAGTCCATGAGTTGTCACATTCTCATGAGCTGCACTATGGTGTATTTGCAGACCAGATGCACCACTGAGGCACTTACCTTGGTAAATACATGGAAAGATCATCAGCACAAAACAGACACAAAGGAATTGTGTCTATCTCTGATCAGCTGATAATGACCTCTGTGATACCCTGATGGGAGGGAAGATGCAAACCAGTGACCCAAATGATCCAAAGACTTCCTGATGGAGTCGTGAAAGGAGAGAGATTGCACTTTCTACAGGTGAGGCTGTATTCATTTAAAAAGTCCCCTGAATGAAAATGGACCAGACATCTAGCAGGGAAGAGAGAGTAATTCACTACTGCCCATTGGCTCTGGCTTGTTCATCACAATTACAATGGAAAGACAGTCTCAAAATCTACTTTAAACTTAGACCTTCCTTTCCTGTATTTCAGTGGGGAAACACATGAAAAGGTGCCTGCCTTTCTGCCTGCAGAAGTTACAAGAAAATGTTTCATGACTTCTCCAGGGTGCAAGAACAGAGAAAGAGGTGAAGAGAAACAGGCAGAGAAACAGGCAGGTTACTCAGTCCTCTACCTGTAACTTGGCTGAGCTCTTTAGGCTGAGAAAGAGCTGCATGTTAACTTAGGGAGGCAGCTGAGAAGACACAGTGTTCTCTCCTTGTGGTCATACCAAACTCACAATTCCCCTCCCTTGAGAGATCTTTGTCATGTCTCTAACTGATGCCACATGAACTTTGAGGAGAGAGAGAGGGAGAGATGAAGCATTCAGATTTCAGAGGTAAGTGGATGGACAGATTAAGTATGATTGATTTCAAGTTGTAGCTCTTTGATAGCCAGTCAACCAAGTGCAGCTTTGAGGCTCATCAATAAGGCACAAGGGGAAAGGCAAACAACAGGGCCTCAATCAGCACTCACCAACTGGGATATGGTGGCTTGACACACTGTCCAATGGCTCAAAACCCTTTTCCCAGGCATCTTCTCAGCACTTCTGGGAAGTTATACCTTCTCTTCCTCAAGAGTCAATCAGCCACAGAGAATCCAAAGTGCTCTCCTGACTTCATGCCACACATACAAATGATTTCACTCATCAGGGGAAATGTCACTCTCTGGGGATGAAATGTGGCAGCTGTTTAATGAAGGACTGCAAAACTACACAGTAATACAGGACCAGGAAGCAAAGAAGAAAACTGTTGCATCCAGAAGAAAAAGGGAGAATTTGGAAAGCAGAAGCAAACAGCCCATGCCAGAGGATTTTGCAAAGCACCATGGCTAAGACTCCAACATGCTAGTAACTGTGATCGTGTAAGACCTTTGATTTATATCTTCTTCATAAGGTGATAGCTGTGAGGATATAAAAGCTGCAACCCATGCATTTGCCCAGGAGAAAGTTAATGCAGAAGAGAGGGCAAGAAGAGGGACAAAAAGAATCAGAAGTTGAAGTTATTCCCTTAGGATAAGGGGAACTGCCATCTTGGAACAGACCGTGGGTGTATGTAATATAAGAGCATGGTCATCTTTCACTATCTATCTGCTTGAAGATCTTTCGTGCTATGCAGCCTACAGGAGAGTGTTCCCCCAAAAGGGGTTATGTACTTTTCCCAGAAGCACAAGAACTGACATCTCTCGGACTGATCGCTCTGTTCACATCTGTATGTGCTCCTTTTTCTGCCCCTTCCTGCCTGGTCAGCCTCCGTTTTGCATCGTCAGTTGACATCAACTGATGATGATCGGCTTTGCATTGCCCACCATGACCAATTCAGAGATGGCTGAGAAACTACCTCATTGACGTTGATGCCATTCCTCTCCATGTAGGCCTTGTCGTTCACCTGTCCTCCTTCCATAAACTCCATGAGAAGGACGCGCCTTGTGGAGAGCTCCCAGTAGATCCTGGGGACCTGAAACAGGAACAGATGGGGTAGGTCAAAGCACAGGCTGGGAAAGGAAGGAGAATATATCACACGCAACCCAGAAAAGGGGTAAAAAAGGAAAAGGCTGAAGCGAGGACTTGGTTTTTCATGAGCACAAGGGAAATAATTAATCTACTGGCTTCTTCCCCAGCAGCAATGTGTGCAAGGACAACACACCAATTCAACAGCAGCAGGATCTGAGCTCGTACAACATTTCAGGCCCTGCTTTACAAGACTTTGACCACTTCCCACTCCCACTGATGTCTGAGAGCTTTCTTCTCTGCTCTGCAGCTCCTCTAACTGGGCTGTTTAACCAGTACCTATTGCAAGTCTCTGAATCATCCACTCAGCTCCTTTAGACAGGAACCTCATCTCGTTTGCTACGCACAGGGCCCACTTACGCAGCTCTAAAATGATAAGCCATCGTCATAAATTGTGTCTCCACAGTGCCCCTTGGAACACAAACGCCTCTGAGCTGACAAACCCTGCGTACTTAGGCCATCTGCAATTGAACTGGGAGAAAAATCAAGTGTCACAAATAAGAGGCTTGCCACAGAAACCCTGGGAGACCTTTAACTATCTCCTATTGCCAACATGACACAGTAACAAGTGCAAAATGTCAAAGCACTTTTCATTTAACCTGCAGTAAATCAAGCTGAGTGAGGTACAAGTAAGAAGTCTCATGTCACCCAGGGGGGAAGCGACGCAGCCATTGCTCAGTCTGGTTCCTCCTTTTCCAGCCTCTTTTGCCAGCCAAATTCTTTCCATGCTGAAGTCCCCTACTGTCAAGAGTCCTTTTGCTGCAGTTCCCTTTGGATATTCCTCAAATCACTGTGCTGACCAATCTCCCAAGCTCTCCAGATTTATCTTTGCACACAAGTGAAGCCACACAGGTATATTTTACCAAAGATATAAAGGAGCTCCATCCATTCCCCTTACTGTGCCCCAGCACAGGGAGACACATTTTGGATCCTGTAAAGAATCACAGAATCCCAGAATGTGAGGAGTTGGAAGGGACCTGGAAAGCTCCCCCAGTGCAACCCCTGCCACAGCAGGATCACCACAGCAGTCACACAGGAACATGGCCAGGGCTTTGGGTGTCTGCAGACTAGGAGACTCCACAACCTCTCTGGGCAGCGTGGGCCATGCTCCATAACCCTCACACTCACAAAGCTTTTCCTTCTCTTCAGCTTGAACCTCCTGTGCTCCAGCTTGGGACCATTGCCCCTTGTCCTGGCATTGGACATCCCAGAGCAGAGCCTGGCTCCTTCCTCCTGACACTGACCCTTTCCAAATTTATAAACATTAATGAGAAAGAGCTGTGCAGCCTCCTCTCCTCGCCCGCCTGACTTGGCTGTGGACTCAGGACTCACACACTGCAAGGGTCCAGCACCTTGTTAACCTTAAATAAACTTTGATGCTAAGGATCCACTATGTGTAAGGGGGATTCAGTTACTCACAGCCTTCCCAGCTTATCTGGATGCCCATTCTTTGCAGATTTAGAAAGCAAACCAACTCCAAAACTAACAGTTCCCCAGCCCATCCAGCTCACTGAATCCACTGCCTTAGATCATTTTGGATGACATTCATTCTTGTCTCAAGATTTATGGGGCAAGTCAGTGGGCTTGTAAAGCATTATCCATGCTCTCAGAGATGCCTCTTCTCTCACTCACAGCCAAATTCTTCAGTGATTTTTTTAATTGCTCACAGATGTTTGGCTGTAATGCTAGCACATGGAAACAATTTATCTCTGGCTTTAAAAGCTCAAGCAGGTTCACAGCACAAAATCCACTTCTCGGTTTTCTAGCGTGTTTAGGAAAATTAATGATACAGAAGCCCAATTCTTCCGTTGCCTTTGGGTGATGAACACGTCTCTGAATTGGCAGGTCAGACGGGAGGATCCATTATTTAGCCATCTCAAGCCATTTGTTATTGTTACACATATTGATATCATGATAGCTCCTTAACCCAGCAAGGAGGTGATTTGCCATCTCCATGGGGATTTACCTCACAGTATCCTAGTTACAGCTGCAACAGATACAGCTCGCCAAGGTGCATCACTTCTGATAAGTGCCCACTCAGCAAAATCATCGGTCTTTGGCCTTCTGTAGCCTCGAGGGCTTTTAGCTGTCTGTGTCCATGGGAAGGCCACTGATGCCACTGGGCTCCAAAAGGACTGCCCCACACCTGGAGCCAGGTGACAAGGAATTACAGCCCTTGCACGGAGGAAGCAAGGAAAAAATGGATGCATCAGCCTGTAAAGTCTAACAAGAACTCACCTCATTTCAGACATCTGTCCCCTTCATCTTGGGACTTCTGCATAAACAGGAGGTGAAAACCTCAATTTGATGGGTGTGTGCAAAAGAGTCCAAAGGCGGGTGCATTTTTTGCTACCTTAGTGTATGTGCAGATGTAGTTATCAGTGACTGTGCCCACAGCACTATGCTTGTGCTTGACCATACTTGTGTATTTCCAGAATACACACAGTGGAGGCTTCTGCCTCTTGTATGTCAGCAAAAGATTTGTGCACAAAACATTTGTGAGTTTGAAGGTGTGAGCTTATGTCTTTCTAAGAATGAGATGTGTACACGTCTGGCTGTACTTGAGATGTTTGTGACCTTAGAGTGTAGCAGGGATGGTGGGGTAAGAGTGTCAGTGGGAAAGAGCACAATACGGGTGTAGCTGAGTTTGTGCATGAAGGTAACATGGACGCATTAGCCATGGATGTGTATGAAGGATGTATGCTCAATTCCAGAGTGAGAATGTGGTTTTTTGCAGGACAAAGGATTCATGTGAACATGCTTCCTCCTGAGATACACACTGTCCCCAATCCTACTTGACATCATCAGCTTCAGTCTAGCTTTTCTGTTTTATGTCCATCTCTGGCTCTCAGTTGAGCTAAAGCCCAGGAAAAGGTACCATCAGATGGCTCAGCAAACAACGGCAAATTCACAGGTCTCTGGACAAGTTCAGAAATAATGCTTGGGAAAATGAGTAGCAGGCTCCAGAGACTGCTGGCCCCAAGCCACCACTCCTCATCCAAAATACGGTGCCTACAGTAGGAAACAGACAAGGAGGAAGCATGTCTCAGAGCAGTTTCTGGTTCATATCAGCAAAGCAGTCTAGGATGAACAACACAGAGGGACTGAACTCCATTCTTCTGCTATGTGGTTCCTCCAGATGGTGAATGATGTGCAGAAGAAGCACAAAGTGAGACTATTAATGTACAAAAATACATGGGAATATGTGTTCTCTCACCTTCAGGAAATCAAAGTTCTTGAGCATATGAGCAACCTTCTCAGCATTTCTGCCCTCATTGAGGAAATCCAGCTCCAAGGGCAGATTCTTCTTAGCTTCTTCCACCAGCCACATGAACTCAAAATCTGGAAAGATTTGCTTCACAACCAAGAGGAGAACCTGGGAACAAGGAAACAGACAATCAGCTGCATCCTAGCTCCAAAGCCACAGCACACAGCACCGTTTTGGTAGGATCATTTAAAGTAACTTACAAAACCCAATCTGTACCACAAGTACTTGTAGGGTTCCTGCAGCACAAATGTTGGCTTCCTGTTCCACACAGGCACATCTAGGAGTTGAAAGATGGTACAGACACCAAAGGAAGCCCACCTGCCTGCTGCCTAGATGTAAGAGAGCACAGCCCTGGAGAACATCTTGCCAAGGGGATGGCTCAGAAGCGATTCTTTTCTGAGTCCTCTAATTCTAAAAGTCACTGTTTGGCTTCATGCAAAAAGCCCTTAGAAGAGGAAGATCTAAAGTAAGACTCGTCACCTCTGCATTACTTCTTCCATTGTTGAGCAAGAATTTTGCTAGCACAGAAAATCTGCTGGGCAGTTCAGAGAAGACAGCGGAGTTCAGATACAGGTAGTAGGCTACAGATCTTTAAAGGACACTTCTGGTGGGGGTGAGAGGGAGATTTGGCCCTTAGTGTCAGTGACAGCCATCCTCAGTGATGCTAAGGTGGTCTTTTCTAAATATCATATATCCACCACCTGGCATCCTCTTCTTCTAAAAGTAATAAGGTATTCAGCTGCACATGGCCTTGAAAAGCCCAGCTGAAAAGTTCCTGGAAACATTTGCTTACATCAACATTTAATAAAGGGGTGAGAAAATCAAGACTGTGCGATTCAATGGCCTGACCAAAGCTGCACAGCAGCCAAGCATGCTTTCTGCTCAAATGAGGAGCCAGTTTCTCAACCAGTGTCACAAATTTACACAAGCTGATAACTTGTGGCACATCTTAAGAAAAATAATTTGTTAACTACCTGAGTCATAAAAGAATAATAAAACATAAAAAGGCAATCCACTCTGCTGTCCTTATCTTACCTGTTCTGTATGTCCACCTGAAAATGAAAACAGACTTGCCAGTGTGTGTTCCTGGACAGTTTCCCTCTCTCTATCTCCCCTGCTGAGGTGGGGATTCCTGCGCTGCAGGAGGAACACTTAAAGCACACACACAGAGAGCTGCTATCATGGAAATGTATGGCAAAAAATAAATTTATGAACCATCACTGCTCCTGTTCAGCTGTGTGAAAACGTTTGTTCTCCACCCCTGTCTCTACTCCTCTTATCTAAATGTCAGTTCCAAACTCAATGTTCCTTTAAAAATGTAATCACCAGGTTCCAGACACTATTGAATGATTTTTCTACTGTTATATCTAGAGGCATAAATCCTTTCAAATTTATGTCACCCAAATGAAATGTAACCAGCGATCTTCATGAACATGTATATAAACTTTATAGGGGCTGCAGGATTATTTCATTGGTGCCTGATGTGAGAAAATTCATGCATTGTTTTTTGCTTTCTTTAAATGCTCTTTTGAATCAATTTGCCAGCTCGATCATCAGCAGGGACATACTTAACAAGTGTCTGGCTTGTCCCTTTTCTGACATCTGCCTAACACATTGTCTTGAAATAAGTATTGATATAAGAGCAGTGAGGTATCTCTCTCTGGATTTATCAGACGCTGTGCTGATTTTTAAAGAGTCAGCACTGATGCAATGAAACCTCAAGTGAATTTAGGCATCTCCCATCTAGTTATTCCCATTCAGATTCCTTCCCATCAGTCTTCAAATAAGACCGTCCCCATCAATATTTAAATCAACCTCCTACCTCGCTGCACTGTCTGTCTGATTCTTAAAGAACTACAACTTCCGTGCACGTAATCTGGCTTCCAGTGCAGCCTACACAAACACAGTCCCACACGAGGATACGATGATGCATGTGAGCCAACACTCCACAAGACACCCTTTAAAAACAAGACTGCATGTGTCATGCCATGAGCTATTTTCCCATACTATGTGTACACAACAGATCTCAAGGATGACAAACTAGACTGTCTGTAGAGGAAGGACAAGACTAGACGGCCAAAAGGGAATACACTGTTTTAGTTTCAGGTTTCCCAGGACAATTAGTTTAAAAACAGAAAGGACAGGAATCATTCTAAAATTATTTGTGTAAATGTCTCTTACCAGTATAACCTGCAATCACAGCAACATAGTGTGAAGGGGGAATTATCTTTATACTCACTGTTAAAAGGGCAAACGTCCCAAGGTGGCTTTAGGTCTTGGCTCATTCAGGTACAATCCTCTTATTGCCCTGGTCTCACAGTCTTTCATTACCTTGCACATCCTTCCTCCTTGACTGCTTAGTTTCTGCCATCCCGCCCTGGGCAGGAGTGAAGGATGCCATAAGAGCCCTGAGAACTGCTATGCATGTGACGACTCACAAAAGCAAACTCATTGGGCACACCACTTTCCAGTCAGTCCTGGAGAGGACCTGAATCAAATCCAAATCTACAGCTGGACCCAAAGTGAGTTGAAACAGTTCTCTGTTCTCAAACCAGCACTGAAACAGACATATGCCATCTCACTGGGATTTCTTTATTCAACTCAAAAATTCATTTCACCACCAGCTCAAAATAAATGTTCAGCTGCAAACTGATGTGCTCTAGCTGGAACCAGCTGTGTTTCTTTGCAGACTAGCCAGGATTGCCCAAAGCAGGGTGTTTTAGCTGCCTAAAGAAGCTTTAGTCTTGTGCTCCTCTGAGAGGCTGCTGGCAGGATCTTTGATTCCTGACCTCCTGTGATGAAGAACTGGGTGTCATTGCATCAGCAGTACCCTCTAAACACTTATCAGACCTTCTCAGCTTAATCTTCCCCTCTTTAGCCCCATGGCCATACTTGTCTGCCAATGGATGTGAACATTACTGTACTATACATACAGATACAGTCTTACTAAGCGAGCTGAAAGCTCTAGCATTACCATTTACAGACCAAATCCCTCCCTTCAGCCCTGTGTCCATTTCCAGTTCCCTACGGTACCACTGGCATCTTTGACTACTGCAATGCAGCGCAGTGCCACAGCTCTCCTCCAGTTCCTCCCTTCAATGGACTAGACTTAGGAATTTGGGAGAAGCTACAGCATTGCACTGGGAACATGAGTGGTACCCACCATTCAGGAACTGGACACAGGCACTGCCAACTTTTTTTCCTAGCTGAATCCCTCATTTGTGCGTCTGCCCCTCTTAGGTGACCTTCTCCATATTTCAGTGTCTTTGTTTCCAGCATGAATCAGCTCAGCATTAGGAAGCTGATGAAGAAACATAACTGAATCACAGCAAGCTCAGCCACTGTTGAATCCACACTGGAATTTAACTGGAAACACATGGTAATCATGGAGGATGATTTTTCCTTGGCCACACAGCCCTGACTGCAAAGGGAACTGAGACCAGTTTAATCCACCAGTTAATAGGCACACAGGCAGAAGAGAGACTTCAGCATTCAGTCTCTAATTTTTAAATCCCATATGGATTTGCTCAGATGTCATTCATGTTTACCTGGCTTCTCCTCCTGCCTTCTTTCACTCCTAGCCTCTCCTTCAGCCTCTCCACCCACACAGTCATCCTCATTCAAATCCTCACCAATTTTCTGTACTATTCCAGTAAGACAGCATTTTTATCTGTGGAGGTTTCAAAGCTACAGGATGGCGTTATTACACCTGCTGACACCGTGGGTGAATGTGGCCCCCGCATGTTTCAACACCAATTGCTCTGCAAGTCAAAGTCAACAGTTAGTTTTACCTCCATGAGCAAAATATCTTTGGAGCTCTGAGCTTGGACCTTTGGGTGCTGGATTTTCACTGCCACCGTCCTTCCATCCTGCAGCACTGCCTTGTGCACCTGGGCTAGTGATGCTGCTCCCAAGGGAGTGTCCTCAAAACTCACAAAGAGCTCTTTTATCTGCCAGGAGAAGAAAAAGAGGCATCAGTTTGGGGTGCCAGAGACTATCCTAAGGAAAGCCCTGCCCACAGGCCAGAGACAGCGTGTGCCAAAGCTGGGCAGGCTCAGCGCTTTCATCCTTTCTCTGTCCTGAGACTTGTCACTGCTTGGGCTCCCAGCAAAGCCTGCCGAGCACCAAAGTGCCCCAGAGATCACGCAAACCAGTAGCAGAGCCCCAGCAGTGCATTTCATCTGGGACATGGAGCGGCCAGGCTGCATGTGAGGGACCTCTCCAGGTTGTCCTGAAAACACATTGCAGCAGTTATAGTCAGCATCCTTGGTTGTTACTGGGTGCAGAAGCAAACAGCTGTCCCTTTTCATGTAATTCTTTTGCAGATATTTAATACCACCCACCATCACCCCCTGAACATGTGTGTTCCCATGCAATACAGCAGCATGGGCCAGCTTACATGGTGAAAGCCAGCACTCAGCTGGGAGCAGTGGTAAGAGCTGGATTCAGGGCAGGGGGACAAGAATTGCAGTTTGCACCTCTGACAACTCGGACTGAAAACATTTTTTACATGACGGACTTTCTCATGCCTCCCATAAAAGTAACCAGTGCACTCAGATCAGAAAAAACATCAGATAGGGGCAGCAAGGCACTATGCGGGCAGGAAAGGAAAGTATTAGCACCTCTGGGTATGAAACTTAGGACTAGACTGTAAGGAAAGTTGGGGATGAAGTAGCAGATCCACCGTGGAGATGTTTAGGAAGCAAAAACCTGGACAGGCATAGGTGAGTCAATAACCCAGCACCCTGCTAGAGACCCCCAGTGCAGCACTGGGCAGCTCGGGCCCTGGAACACCATTACCCTGGTGGTGTGCTACCAGCCAGGACCCCACACACAGCTTGATAATTAATTAGCTGAGAGGGAGTGCCAATGGGCTTATGCAGCTTCAGGCACGGAGCTACTTCATGTAATGCTAGTTGAGGGTTTCTGTCCTGCTCTGTAGAGCAAGGTGCAGATAAGCTCCGAGGTATCCAGAAGTCAGCAAAGGGAATCTGTCCCACCCTTCTGGACCGGTTTCGGGTGAGCGGTTGAGAAGCCTATAATTTATGCAATAACAGAAAAGAAAGAATGTCAGTGCATTTTTATAACCTGCTTTTTAAAAGGTAATTAAAGATGGGAGCTGCAGCGAGCTAGTAATTAAATATGAATAAAGACCTTCTAAGCAAAGTCTTCATGCAAAGCGTTAAACGAATATTCCTTTTGCTGACAAGGAAGAAAAATACTATACAAGGAGCAGCCTGTTCCCTCCTGCAGCTGCCAGGGAATGAGCCCCCTCCCACACCACCCTACCCCTTCTCTCCCAACCCCTTCCACAGAAAACTAGCAACAAGCTGGAGCATTTGCAGTAATCAGATTCCAACAGAGACTCAGCTGCCTCCAGTAATTCACTAGAAAGGTGCATTCTATTTATTTATTTAATTCCCCTTGGTCCTGGCGGCAAAATCAATTAAGTAAAACAACTGCATTTAAAACCAACTAGCTATGTGTTTTTTAATTACAGCAGGTCCATAATTCAAACCTATTGACGCTCCTGCCTCAGGAGAAAAAAGGTTTTTCTCCCTTTCCCACCTGCCCTTTCTTTTCCCTCTCACCTCTGGATTTTGAGATTCTCGTTTCAGATTAATATAAGAAAGAAGCATCTCCAGGATGGCAGATAGCTCAGGGGACACATGTTCAAGGCACAAGGACTTTTACCTTTATGTGAAGTTTGTCTGTCAGCTGAAGAGAGAACCTGTTAAGGGGAAGAGACTTAAGGTGGCCAGGAGCATGTTGGGGTAAGAGATCTCATAAGGAAGGACAAACTGCAAACAGAGAATCTGTCACATGAGGTCCAGTTGGGGCTTTCTTAACCTCCCTCACTACCCTACATCCTCATATGAAAGGGATGTACCCTTTACAGAAGGGTATACAGCAGCCAATATTCCCAGTCTGTCATAAGGGTGGTTAACATCCTCCAAAGGTTAAAGCACAGAACTGGGAGTTCGCTGGCCTGAATCCAGTAAGGTACATTTATAGTAAGACCGCATATAAATTGGATAAAATTCCATCTGCTCTGGATTTCAAAAGCTTTTAATTGCCTACACTGTCAATCCAACCATTTTCATCATGCATTGAATGCATGCAAGGGAAAAAAAAAGCTCTGCATATTCCTGGCAGGAGTAATATATACAATATTACTGTGTGACTAAGTTTTCTAAGGAAACATCATTTGAAGAAAGCTGTTCCTAGGAGTTCTTTTGGGCAGAAGGGTTTCAGTTAAAAACCCGTTATCTAGCACATGTAAGCCAGGTTAGCAGTCACATCCGTTCGGGCCAGCCCAGTGGCCCCACTGCAATTCAAGGGGGAATTTGTGTGCACTCCCGGGCTGCAGGCAAGGGCAGCAAGGGGAAGGACTGCAACAGGGCTGGAGAATTGATGGCTCCTCCAGGAGCAGAAGGGTAGAGTGTGCAGATGGGGGAGGGAGCGGATCACAGCCAGGCCATTACACGAGCAGGTGTGAGGCTGAGATAAAGCAACAGCACGATTACTGCTGGGCTGCAGGACCCCCCACCTAGCAAATCACCCTCATTCATTATGAAATTGTCCTTTGGCTGCTCGCTAGAGGCAGCTAGCGCCTCTGCTGCGGGCTGTGTGTCCCAGACAGGCAAAAGCGAGCGGGAGGCTGTGTGACACAGAAGTAGGGGAGATGTGAGCCAGGCTCCCATGCTGCCTGCGGGAGAGCGGGGTCCTTCCCAAAGGAAGCCGGCTGCACACACTTCACACAGGCAGGGAGTTCTTGGAGCAGGCTGCAGGCTCTCACTGCTCACAAGCACCCAGCTAATAAGCACCCTTAACAAAATCTCTAACCATCGTTTCCAAGATAGATAATCAGCAAGCAAAGGTCTGGGACAGTCTCAGAGCCCACCTGACGTGGTACTTCAGGAACTCTCGAGCTTCTTTCTGGCCACAGCTGGTCTCAAAGGGCCCTATCAAACCGGCTGTTACCATCTGTAATCCTGGCAGGAGATGAAACAAGCATCATTTCCAGACAGGTTTAATAAAGGTTTAAAAGAGAGAAAAGAAACTTTGGAGTTGCTCTTTCAAAGGAGCAGGACAGCCAGCTGCAGGCTCACAGCTGCACAGGTGAGTGAGGTACCTGCATGCAGTGGTTTCCCTTGCTAGCCTTCTGCCCAGCCAGCTCCCCATCCACCACGTGCTCACACTGGCTGGAAACACAGTCCTGACTGGTTAATTCTAAAGAACGAAGCTCGTTTCATTTTAAATATGCAAAAATCTTTCCATGATTGTTAGTATTAGTATTCACACCTCAGAGAGCTGATAGAAAAGCTCTTACAGGATCTACCTACTTAGACACTTATTAGTATGTATTTGTGCTGAGGTTGCACCTAGAGACCATCACCAAGCCCAGAGTGCCACTGTATGAGGTGCGCAGCCACCGCAGGCCCTGCACAAGCTCAGGCTTTCCAGGAGTCCCCAGCTGTCACCTACAAACCTCCATACATACTGAAGCACCTTCCCAAAGCACACCCTGCTCTGCCCGAGGTCTGTGGCGCACACCAGCTGATGCCGCAGTGCTGAGCATCTGAATGCGTCAGTATTCTTTTGTGAATCCTGTCTTTAAACACTTAGGAAGTTACTGGGAGTCAATTGGATTTAAACACTCAAATCCCGAGTCCTTTCTGCAAGTATTGCCTTACACGACCTGCCCAGCACGTTCTAAGAAGTCTTTGACAGAACTGGGATTTAACCCACATATCCCAAGCTCCAGCCTGATGTCTTAATCTCCAAACCATAAACGCTAAATGTGCATGTCTTGTTAGCTAATATATTTCAAAATATACTGCCTCTTAATCTCAACCTTTTTATATCCAAGTGCTGCAGCAAATGATCAGATACTCCTGTCTGGATTCAACCTGCCCTCTCCACAGAGAGGTACATTCCCTTCCCTCTCCAAAAGAGCTGCTGACAAGGTACCCTGAAGCAGAAGCCTAAATCATGGAGCCCCTTCCTGGCCGTGCTCTACACAACATCATGGTGGTTCAGCCCTGTGATAGTGACTACAGCTGATGAACATCACCATGTGTCAGCAGGCTGCTTAGGACATATTTAGGGTTCAATAGGATGTAGGATCACTAACAGAAGGTGTCTCAACAGCCCGACCCTGTTTAGCTGGCAGGCTGAACCCCTCACAGCACGCTGCTCCAGACCCCAGTATGTGGTGCATACAGAATGAGGCCACTATGGGGTCTAAGTAAGAAGTCTACTCTGCCCTGCTCAGAACACATCTGCAATCTTGTGTCCAGTTCTGGGCCCTCAGGTCAAGAAGGACAGGAACTGCTTGAAAGAGTCCAGCAGGGCCACAAAGATGCTGGAGGGAGTGGAGCATCTCCTGCTGAGGAGCAGCTGAGGGAGCTGGGGCACTTGAGCTTGGAGCAGAGGAGACTGAGGGGTGCCCTCATTCCTGGGGATCCATTTGGAAAGGGCAGTGTCAGGAGGAAGGAGCCAGGCTCTGCTGTGCTCTGGGATGTGCAATGCCAGGACAAGGGGCAATGGTCCCAAGCTGGAGCACAGGAGGTTCAAGCTGAAGAGGAGGAAAAGCTTTGTGAGTGTGAGGGTGGCAGAGCATGGCCCAGGCTGCCCAGAGAGGTTGTGGAGTCTCCTTGTCTGCAGACACCCAAAGCCCTGGCCGTGTTCCTGTGTGACTGCTCTGGTGATCCTGCTGTGGCAGGGGTTGCACTGGGGGAGCTTTCCAGGTCCCTTCCCACTCCTGATATTCTGTGATTCTGTAATATTTTGCATTTCAAGTCCTATCCAGGAGGCTTTCAGCAGAGTCCAGGACAGTTTTGAAAATTCTGGTTTTCCACAACTGCTTACAAAGAACCTGTCCTCAACTCTGCCAGAGCTGAACCAGTCCAGTACAGGTGGTGTCAGTGAGGAGACTTTCAAATGCTCAGCATGTCCCAGGGGAAGCAAATCCTTCACCAAAGCATTTAAAAACTGCCTTCAAATATTTCACAGAATCACAGAATGGTAGGGGTTGGAAGGGACCTCTGAAGATCATCCAGTCCAACCCCTTGCTAGAGCAGGATGACTTAGAGAAGATCGGACAGGAACATGTCCAGGCAGGTTTTGTTTTTGTTTGACACCCTAGAAAGATCCTGACAGACCCTGTAAGCTTCTGAGTGTGCAAGGGCTATGAGGGAACCACAGCTGGAAGCGGCCAAGTCTCCAGGGTAAATCCTGAGCTCTGGTACCAGCACATCTTTATGAAATGTCTGTTGGGTAACTCTCAGACAATAACGTTGCTTCTGTTACCAAAAGTACAGCAAATATGCCAGAACTGAGTGTAAATACGCCTGTGTCAGGAGACTCTGCCAAAGTCTGGCACATCAGGGGAACACGCAATGGGAGCTGAGAACATTTCAGACAGAGGCCATCTCCAGACTCCTCAGGGTGCTCCACAGCTTCAGCAATCACAGCTACCCAAAATAATCCACAAAAGGGGCCCAACAGGGATGAAGCTATTCTCTTATCACCAAAAAGCAATGCAAACTGGAACACTCAGAACCTCAACCACAATTTCACAGTAGATCTCCTCTTCTGATCGCAGCATACTGTAATTGCTCCTGAGTCTTGCATTTTGTATTTGGAGATAGCAATCTATGAGATGTCCTGCTACTTCAGAAGGGGCTGACTAAGCAATAGAGAATTGACTTGAACTTCTTGCCTCCAAGATGCTCATCACAGGCCGTGATACAGCAGAGCTCCATTAACAGCAGTATTGTGTTGGGATGGCCAGGAGCAGCTCAGTCTCCTGGCGTTTGGATGCCACACAGGACCACGGGAAGATGCACATGGGGAAGTTGGTATAAATCCATTCAAGACAAAGGGGATCGTACAGTTAGGAGACAGATCCATGGTGGAAGGACACAGCAAATAAGTGATTAAGGCAGGTAAATCTTGCACATCTCCTTGTGCTGTGATTTTCCAAGCTGTAATTCCCTAGACAAGGTGAATTGATTCATCTGTTTCTTCCATTCCTGACAGAGCCAGCACTGAGCGGTCCCCTCTCGATCATAGCTCCACAGATGGCAATTTGCTAAGGTGAGCTCAGTCTGCAGGAGGTTTCTGAGATTTAAACGTGGATCATGGTGCCTGCAGCCTCCCAGCTGAGACAGCGCGGGGCAGGGCGATAATGGGATTCGTGAGCTTGCTGGAAAACAGACAACACAACAGCATTCTGGGAGAGACCAGCTTTCCCAGGGAAGCTTTGGGCTGCTGCTCAACATCCCCTCTATTTCACGTGGCAGAATAGCTGAAGAGTTACTCAGCTCTATGTCTGATACAGCACTTCTAAGGCTTTTGGCTCCCAAAACTTCTGGAATTTGCTTTACTGTAGTAGGAAGCTACTGCTCTCAAAAGTCTGGGTGCCTCTCCTAGACTAAGTTTAAGTGATGTGAACCTCATCCTAGGCTGGTCATCTTTTCAAGAACATACACATAACTGTCCATGGCACCGAGGATTCACTGATCCCCGAAAGTCTGCAAGGCTTCTAGGTGTGAGAAAATGTTACATTGGAGCAGAGCGATCTACTTCCCAGAGAGCAAACGAGGGCTTTTTCTATTGCCCCAGCCTTTCTATCCCCTCTATGAAAACAAAATGTCACAGTGTTGCTCTGAGAATTATTAAGACAGCAAAAACTGAAAGATTAGATTTATCGCAGCAGACAGTGGATTATGAAGAATAATTCATCAAACGTCAGAACGAGCAGCCCACAATTTATAGGTGGCTTTGTTGAGGCAGTGAAATCTGATTGGACTTCTCCCCACCTAATGAATGCCAAGCCTAATTGATGGTTCCTAAATGCGTCTGTCAAGAACATGTATTTATTAACTCAATATTTTTAATAATATTGTAGATATACACAAAATAGTGGTTTTCTTCTGAATGGATTCCCTGGAGTTCATATTACACAGACACGTAAGTGTGCACGTATACAGAGGTACTCACTGCACCCAAATGAATACAGGTGAAAGGTGTGTGTGCATTCTGATGCACTGAAACAACTACATGTGGCTTATTACACAAAATCCCTGCATCTTTCAGTGCACAGGATAGCAAAGCAATGTGGGCCATTTCAAGGGGAGCTGTGCCTTAAGGTGTCTGCCTAGAATTTGGAAGAGCTGAGCTCTAACATTGGTTCTCCCCCGTATCCCCTGTGATGCTGGGCCACACCATGTCACCAAGCTTATGTATGGATAAGCACAAAAAGAGCTGTCCAGTTAGCTACAAATCTGCTCTTATCTAATTTCTCAGGACCAATTTTGTAACTTTAATATCTTTTTTAAAACCTATCTGTATAATAGACATGCAGCAGTTACTACACACACAGCCACAGACGTGTACCTCCATTTGCCAGTGGTGTACAATTGCTCCTGGCATGCCAACCACTGCTAACCTGGTTAACCGACCACTGCTAACTTGGTTAATCACCACTAACATTGCACTGCAATGGCACAAACCCAGGGCTGTCCATCAACCCTCAGTCTTTCTTCTGGGAACGGGCTGTGAGCCAGTCAGGGCATGAAGTTCATCTTTTTCTGTTCTTTCTACCTGGTACCACCTTGGTACTCTGCAGCCCACTACCAGCTATAACACTGAGAATCTTCTCCGGGATCCTACCAACAGCATTTCCCAGTCACAAAGCCATTAATGTTACAGAAAATGAACTCTGCTTAAAGGAAGAGTCCTTGTCTGCATCATCTGGAGACCAAAGCTGGCTCACTTGTTCACTGATACCTAGGATCCTGGCTATTCCCTGTTCTGCTCACCTACCGTCCTCTTCTGTAGTCTCTTCTGTATCAGTCTACTTGCTATCATAACTTTTAATTGTTACAGAGCCATACTTCGAGGAAAAGTGCCTTTTATTCCATCCCTGCTGACTCCTGCTTAATAGTCTGTGCTGAGACACACACATGGTAGCTTCATTTATTTT